AGAGAGAGAGATTAAACACATAGCTACTGGTACAAACCCCCAGCCTCGAGGGTGGACTACTCCCTCCTCATAATGGTGGCCGCCGGGATGATGAAGATGGCCACCGGTGATGATTGCCCCCTCCGGCAGGATGTCGGAATGGGGTCTAGATTAGTTTCTCATGGCTATAGAGGCTTACGGCGGCAGAACTTCTGATCTAGGGTCTTTGCGAGGGTTTTGGAATATTTGATGATTTATAGGGCGAAGAGGGGGTGTGGGAGGACACCGAGGTGGGCACAACCCACCGGGGCGCGCCTGGGGACCCAGTCACGCCCTAGTGGGTTGTGCCCCCTTGGGGCACCCCCAGGTCCTGCTCTGGCCCATTGGATGTCTTCTGGTCCATAAAAAATCCACTAAAAGTTCCGCGGTGTTTGGACTCCGTTTCATATTGATTTCCTACGATGTAAAAAACAAGCAAAAAACAACAACTGGCACTGGGCACTGGGTCAATAGGTTAGTCCCAAAAAATGATATAAACTTGCTATAAAATGATTGTAAAACATCCAAGAATGATAATATAACAACATGAATACTTCATAAATTATAGGTACGTTGGAGACGTATCAACCACCTCTTCCTCCCCAAACTCCATTGTTGCTCCAAAAGCTTATTTTCGCCCGATCTCTCTCCCTAGCCAATCAAACTTGTTGATTTTCTAGGGATTGGTTGAGAAGGCCCCGATCTACACTTCCACCAAGAGAAATTTGATCCCCCCCCCCCACTAATCCTTTGCGGATCTTGTTACTCTTGGGTGTTTGAGCACCCTAGATGGTTGAGGTCACCTTGGAGCCACATTACATTATGGTGAAGCTTCGTAGTGGTGCTAGGAGCCTCCAATTTGGTTGTGGAGATAGCCCCAACCTTGTTTGTAAAGGTCCGGTTGCTGCCTTCAAGGGCACCACTAGTGAAATCACGGCATCTTGCATTGTGCAACGGTGTGAGGAGAATACGATGGCCCTAGTGGCTTCTTGGGGAGAATTGTGCCTCAACACCGCTCCAATGGAGACGTACTTCCCCTCAAAGGGAAGGAACTTCAGTAACACATCCTCGTCTCCATCCGCTCACTTGTAGTTACTTCTTACCTTTACTTGTGCAAGCCTTACTAGTATTGTATCTCTTGGTTGCTTACTTGTGTTGTTGTTGTTGTTGCTAGCATCATATAGGCTTTTCACCTAGTTGCACATCTAGACAACCTTTTTGTTGCTAAACCTATTTTGTTAAGAAAAATTAAAATTGGAAGTTGCCTATTCATCTGTCCCTCTAGTCAACCATATCGATCCTTTCAAGTGAGACTGATTAGGTTGATCTGAGCGGCCATGAGCTTCGTAAGCGATCCACGGATGTGGGGACCTCGGCCGTTGGCACCGCTGGGGAGGACCCGTCTGAGGACTCACGGCAAAAAAAGCGTCAGAAGGTGCGCCAAGGCCAGGCGACCAACTCGGCCGCCTCATCTTCCTCCCAAGCAGCAACCCCACCAACCAAGGCTAGCAAACTACTGCCTGACGTCCGAAAACCTTAGAACAAGCAGGCAAGCACATTGTAAGTGACTCGCAACAACTCCTTAAATAGTTGCACATCAAACTCTTTAGGGTGAACTTGACTTTCATTATTCTGCAGGACCTCATGCAACTTTGGCGCCATGCTGACTGTTGCCCCAACGACACCTCCTAAGAGCCTCGCACAACAATTACTGAATACTGGCTCGAAGTTGTGGATCTTGAAGATTAACGAAATCATCACGGGCCTCACCATCGATGCAAACATCGTCTCCAATGAGAGAATAACCACCATTAGTGAGACATCAAAGCATCAAATATGAGTTTTATCTCTGATGGGTTGTGGTATCACTACCCTCCTAAGAGCAACTCCAACAACTCCCTTAAATACCTTGCTGTAAAATTGATTTTTTTGTATGACCATAAAATTTAGCGGAAGTTGTCCGAGAGCTACTTTTGTCAGTGTAAACTTCTTCCCCCTAGATAATGGCCTAGGACCCACTAGTCAGTGACACATGTGACAACAGTTGGCGTGGGTAGCACGAGGTTGTGCAGTGGCCGTCGGCACGAGGCAGTGTGGTGGCCGCCAACACGAGGTGGTGTGGTGGCTGCCGACGAGGGGCGGTGCGGGCGGTGGCGTTCCAGCAAGGTTCTAGCGCGGGCTACGGTGAAGTTCCAAGCAGTTACTAGCCCACCAAAATTCATCTTCCCGTAAACCCGCAGGAAGATTGAGGCTAATCTACGGGATCCCTTAAAGTTATGGTAGATTTAGGGGATGTGTTTGAGAGCTTCCCCCCCCCCCCAACTTCCTGTAAACAATGGTTATTTTAGAGATAGCGGAGCTATTGGGGTCGCTCTAATCATCCAACCACTGGTTGGTTCTCTTTATTTATGTATTAATCAAACATCATGTTTTGTAGGGTACTTATTCATGTGAATCAAACATCCAATTCTGCTGTGTGTTTTTCATAATTCTTTGTTTTGCACTTGTGGTTCTTGTCATATTTTTGTATTTTTATCCATGTTTCTTTGAAGGAAAACTCTCACTGTCAAACGGCTGAAAAGAGATTCTGCGTCCACCGCCTTCCCTACGCAACACTCACGTCTTCACCTTTCCCGATTCCTGAAACAACACCCCAACCGCAACATCGTCCTCTTGACTCTCCTCTCCCTGTCGCGTCTCTCCTCCCCTGTTGCAAATCAGACGAGGTGCTGGCAGCCGGCGGCCCCACCACACACATCGGTGTTGCACACCTATATCCTCTGCATCTAGATTGGGATTGTCAACGCCGACTCACGCAACCCGGTCCTAGCTCCAGTGGTGCGTGACATCTTTGTTGGCGTTGCTGACGCCCATGGAGCCCTCCCTACTGATGTGGCGACCTGTGTGCAAGCACCACTGTTCGTGGCAAGAAGGGGCCGGCCCAAGCGAGCTTGTCCATGACCATGGCAACCAGTGGATAATTTATTTGCAACAAGGATGTTTTTATTGTTGTTGCAAAAGATGGTGGTCAATGATGGCAGCTTAGACAAGCTTTTGCAACATCATCTCTGTTACAAAAAAAAACTACAATAAAACCTATGTTGTAGAAAAATAAATCTATAACAAGATTTGTGTTGTAATGATGGAGGCGTGCTCGGCCGTTTGATGCGCCATATTTGACGGCTCGCGGCCAGGTCGATCTTTTTAAAGAGATCAACCGATGAACGCGTAGGATGCTAGAGCAGAGAGCGAGGGTAGAGAATGGAAGTGAGCAGAGTTGCTTAAGGGAGATGTAAGTGCCTTCCTTGGAGCACGGGTGGAGTGAGCTAGAGTGAGGAGTTACCCATAGGTTTGTTCTGTGTTTCAGGTGGAGTTGAGTTTATGTAATTTGTAAACTTCAATGTATTTTTGCATGATAATACGTGTCTCATTAATAAAATAAAGATTAGTTACAAGCCACGTAAACTTCGACATTACATGACTGCAAAATAGGATAATCCTATGCAAAAAACCAGCGCCTATCCCGCTTCACCAAGGAAAAGGAGACATACCACCTCTTCACCTGAGCTCGACGCGGGTCCATCACTGACTAGCAGCTTTACGAACCTCCAAAGTAGTTTGCTTTAAGCAAAACCATTGCCGTTGAAAGAATCAGACCGAGGCAACAATGTCCCCGGACACGCCATCAAATTCCAGAACTGACACCCCCGCATGACTATGACGTCGGGGGAGGAAATCAGAATTGGCAGCCTCCAACCACAAACCCAGCACAAGATGCAGCATCCTCCAGCTGTCACTTGCGTAGAAAACCGTTTGCGCGTACTCCTGAATGACAAAACCTCCCTGCTCCACCATGACATCGAAGACAACGCCACAACAACGGGGACAGAGCAGAAGGAGAGACACACCTAATGAAGTCACCGCCGCCGCCTCGCAGACACCATCCATGAACCCTAATGTCGCCGATTCGAAGGATCGGCAAACACATGATGCCATCAACTCCGAGACACCGCCATGATGAGCACTGCCAGTGTGGGAGTGAAGTTGAGGCAGATTTATTCACGTGGGCGCCGCTCCCACCACCCCAAATGCGCATCTCGACCTATAAATCCAAACCCTAACTACAGAGTGGAGGAACGGGGTCCCCTCCCTCCCGCCGCCGGAGCAGCAGCCGAAGGGAGAGGGGGCCAGCGCCCTGGCCGGTGGAGATCGGTGGAAGAAGATCCGCCTCCCTAGTCGCCTAGTTCCTGGCGGCGGCTAAGGTAGGGAAAACACGCCCCTGCTTGTAAACTTTAGTGTGAATGGGCCCTTTACCCTGTCCTCTTCTTTATAAATACAATACGTACTCGTGCGCATACGAGATCTTTTAAAACAACAAATCAAAGATGTCCTAAAATAGTGGACATGGAGCATGTGATCCCGAGCACCGGTGACTCCGAATGAACAGTAAAATTCAAAAAAATAGTAAATTTTTTTAAAAAAAATCTGAATTTTTTTGTCAAGAAACTTTGATGTTTTTTCTACGTGCGTGCCAATTTCACGGTGAAATGACATTTGTGGAGGTCTCGGCAAAAAAACAAAATCATGGTCCAAAAAAACTGTTTTTGGAAGCATTTTGGAGCATCGATTTTTTTTTGCGGAGACATGCATGAATGTCATTTTGTCATGAAATTTTGCACGCATGTAGAGAAAACATCAATGTTTGTTGCTAAAAAAATTCAGATTTTTTTGAACATTTTAAATATATTTTTCGTGTGTAAGGGTGCGTGTGAACTCGAGCTCACGATAGCACTTTCGTAAAATAGTGGTGTACTATTCCGTAGAACAAAAGGAGAAGAAACAAAATACTCCGAACTTCGAGAGTTCGCATCATCCACAAAGGTGGAAGGAACACAGCACCAAGCCCTCCCCTGCACCCTACTCCCTACCCACCTAGCCGGAGGAGAACCGAAGTCGCCGCTGCCGCCGCTCGCCCCAGTAAAATGGACACCGTGGGTGCCCGGCTGAGCCGCTCCTCCACGCGATATGGCCCCGTCGGCAGCAGCAACGCCTCCTTCAGCGGGCCCGTCAGGAAGTGGCGCAAGGCGTGGGTCCCTCTCGCCGGCGGCGGCGCGGGGTCCGCCTCCGCCGGTATGGGCCCCATTGGGTGCCCCAGGGGTAACAAGGTGGTGCTGCTCAAGTGGGCGCCGGTGAGTGGCGCCGGCGACGGTAACGGCAAGGAGGTCGCCTCGGCGGCCACCAGACGGCGATACGTTCCGGTGAGGCTTCTTGGCTTCAAAGATTAGGTCTTGGCGATTGTTCGGTTGCTTTATTGCGCTCTGGTAGGTTCGATCTGCTTCGGAGGTCGGACATTTGGCCGTTCTTGCCTTCTTGGCTTCTCCCAGGTCATAGTTTTAGGCACAATGTAGGAGGGGATAGGAGACCATACGGGCTCTTCTTGGATGATTTTGGCACTAGCGTCAGCAATAGGGTCTGGATGCCGGAAATGTAGGATTTGGGGTTGGCCTTCTACTTCAGCTTGGGTTGTGCTAGGGTTTTGTAGCGTAATCAGTGCATGGTGGGAATTTCAGACTCAGTTGATGAGGGTAGTAGGCTATGTCCAGGCAAAAAAGGACAATAGCAGGCCTTGCAATTCTTCAGTAGAACTCGTTCAAGGAGAGCGTCCTGGTTCAACAATTGTGGAGATTTCTGAGTGATTGTTTGGGCGGTTGTGCCTCTGCTTCTGCCTCAAGGCTCAAGATTTAGCCTTGTGGTTAGGATTTGAGTATTGGTGACACTCCTAAATTAGTCAATTTAGTGGTTGCACTGATGGTTAAACACCGAATATGGGGTCATTGATTGATTACCTAGTGTTCTTATTTTTATTGTCATTTTTCACATGTATTCAGATATGCTTTTGAAAGAAAGTCCATCTGAATCCTGAACTATTGTGCTTGGTTTGATTTGAGTCCTAAAGGGTTAAACTATGATACCGTACCATCTATATTAAACCCTGAACTTTCAAAAACTATCTATTTTAAACTCTGAATTTCTTAACATTTCCTACTTCTACAAAAAAAGAACAGTTTTTGTGAAGACCCTGAAATGCACAACCACTATCCAAAACCGAGGTAGGTTTCAAGTGAATGGTTTTAGAAAGTTCAGGGTTTAATATGGACAATTTCATAATTCAGGGTTTAACACCATAGTCTAGGGTTTAAAATGGACTTGTATGTTTACAATTGTTGTGTACATATATGATAGGCTCTTGTGGATGCAACTATTTCTTTCATAGGTCTTGGTGCTCTTTTACTTTGTTCCTACAGTCGACAGTGTGTTGAGCTTCAGGTTTGCTTTACAGAGAGACTTAGAACTGGTGGATGCAATCAATTTGTGTAGAAGTATGTGTGCACTGAAAATATTGCCAGTAGTGACTGTCTATTTGAATTTAGTTACGGCACTTCTAACAATGTAACTTCCAGTTCGAGGATAAGGCTAATGATAAAGATTCGTCATCTGATGGTAAACAAATGGTATAAGGAAATTCACCCGACAGAGCCAAAATAATGGACAAGTTCAAGCCGCCCCCCGCGTGGGCGACCGGGAGGCCCCAGATCCCATCGCCGCCGAACCTCCCCCACTCCTCCTCCTCCCTCGCCGCCGCCCAAGGGCGCGGCCAGGCGAAGCCTAGCTGTCGCCGGCGGCGGCGGGGACTCGGGCCCTCTCGCTCGGGTGGGGCTGGCGCGGGCCGGCGCCGCCGGGCCGGAGCGTGGCTGCGGGCCGGTCGCCACGGCGGGTGGTGGCGGCGCCTCGGCGACGTCGATTCCCCACGGCAGGAGGCCTTGCGATCTGGTGCGTTGCGGCCGCCAGGGACGGCGGCGGCGTGACCGGATCGGTTCGCGGCGGCGCGGCCGGATTGATCGCTGGTTGGCCGGCGGCACGGTGGTGGGTGCGACTCGTCGGCAGCTGGGCAGATCCGCGGGATTCTACCCTTGTCTGGCCCTTGACAGCGCGGGCAACTACGGGGGAAACCCTAGATCTCCTTTGGATCGAGCGATGGCGGCGCTTTTGCGTTGTAATCCCTCTTTAGGGCATTGTTTTGGAGTTTGCTCCGGTTGAAGGGACCAGCGACGTCGGCGGCGCACGTCTGGTGGAGCAACTGCCGATGAAAATCGCGCCGACTACGGTCATGGCGGACGATGGCGGCGTCTTAGATGTCGTTCCCTTGTCGAGGCATCGTCGTTGCAGTTTGCATCATCAGGCTCGGGATGCTCCGAGGGAAACCCTACATCTGGGTCTTCCGGATCGGACGATGATGGCGTTTTATCGCTTTCCCTCCTGGGGGCATCGTTTTGGAGTAAGTGATGGCTGGGGGGATGGTGGAGCGGTGCTTCATCTCACACATCGATGGCGGCGGATATCGGCGGCATGGCGCTGTGGAGGCTCGGCGTCCGATGCACGGAGATGGACTCGCGCAGGAGGAGGTTGCTGTCTGGCGTCATGGTGACGTCGATGGCAGAGTGGCCAGACAAGGTAGAAGCCTCAATATGATCTGAAGACGGACCTGTGGAAGATGGCGGCGACGACACACGAGTGCGTCTGACCGGATTGTGCCCCAGACCCGATATGTGGCTCGGCTGGGGCTTCCGAATATGTTTCGGCTTCCGGCTTTTGATGTTAGGCTTAGGTGAGTGGTTTGGGTAGTGGCCCAGCTAGCATCCCTTCATCATTTTGGATAGGAGTAGCGGCATGTGTTGCCAAGATGGTGGATTCAGGCACATTGTTGTAATACTTTGTAAGGTCCTCGAGAATAATCAATAAAGTGGCCGTATGCATCTCCCAGATGCAGAGGCCGGGGGTCATCCTCCTTTTCTAAAAAAAAAAAGTTTCATGTACGTATTTTGGGTTTGCTGGGCTTTCATTTGGAAAATGGATATAGCTGAATAAACAGAATTGATACATCAAGTACAAGTAGTAGTTTTTCAATCATTTTATTTGTAAAGTTCAGCGATATGTTTGCGTTCATTTGTTACATCTATTGTGCTAAGCTCATTTTCCCTTGTGCCAAGTAACTGGGAAAGGACCCCATTAAAATTTTTGTACTCGCCCAACATCAGTTTCTGTTTTCCTGGTTGTCACTACAGGTCTTATACGTGTCTCTGTACCCTCTTTCAGGTTTCGGGTGTGCCACAGAACCCTACCAGAAAAGGCGGCAGCACCGAGCTGAACTTGAACCTCGGTTTGGAGGACCCGGATGATGACAGCGACGCTGATTTGAGCCCAGACGAACAGCGTGACATGGGCAGCACCCCGCGTTCGGAGAACCGACTGAAGAGGAAAGTGTTTTAACCGTCGACCTCGGATACTAGAACCTAAGCAGCAGCAGCAGCTCCATGTTCCACATGAGTTCTGCACCATCTTTGCGATGCGAGGTCCCTGGAGTAGCCTTATTATTATTAGTGTGTAGCTTCTATCTGCTGTGCTCCCGTGTTTCAGTAGATGAATTGATGTTGTTTCATGCCAATTGGGAGGCTTATCGCCTTGTTATTGTTGTATTAATGTCATGAACTTGTGAGGAAACTGGTAGTGTACTGTGTACCAGCACGTTGTTCTATGGAATCCTTTTCAGTCGTGAGAGGTGATCGGCGCCCTCAATGGCCATCGTTCGTGGATGCTAGAACACGGAACGGGACCCATAGTTTCCTTTTTCCTTTCTCTTTTATTAAGAGCAACCTACATTTTTTTTAAAGCAACATATTTTATTCCTCAGATAATAGACATATCGTTTACAATATAGTGAGAAATAAAATAAAATCAAGGATTATAGATTCCCAAAACATAGAAGATTTTTCACTAAATGTGTTTTTCGCTAGGTTGTGAGCCACTTCATTTGCTTCATGGCGACACCGTGTATATCAGACACTCACAAAGTCCAGCCCTAAATGTTTGCATTCAAGTACCATTGCAACATCTGAGCCCACATACGTTTCTGGTTATTGCACTGTTTCCACCACAAAGTTACAATGTGACTCAATGATCACTTTGTTACATCCGATCCTCCATGCTAGATATAATCCATTCCGGATAGCTGAGCTCACATACGTTTCTGGTTGTTGCGCTGCTTCCACCACAAAACTACAATCCGACTCAATAATCATTTTGTTACATCCGATCCTCCCTACTAGATATAATCCATTCCGGATCGCTGTCATCTCTGCTGAGTCAACGCTGGTCACCCGAGGAACGAATCATGTTGCCTCAACAATGAAGTTTCCTCTTCCATCACGGACAATAGAGCCTGTTGTACCGGAGAGTTTCAACTCGGAAAGCAGCATCAACATTGATTTTGACCACACCCCTAGTCGGCCTCTTCCACATATAAGCATGGCTTCTTGTAGGATGATCCGTCATATAACTTCGAGTATAATTTGTTGCTAGAACTTTTATTGAAATCACGGCTCTTTCGGGGTTCTGAGTTGGCTCGCCTTTGGTATGTTGACGACGTTGCCACCATAGGTACCAGGCTGCTACCATCATAAGTTCTGTGGTCGGCAGTCCATCCGTGACCGAGTTTATCTTGCTCAGGATCTCAACAGTAATAGAGCCTGATCGGTCCTGCCTTACCGCTTCCGCGACAATGTTCTGCACCCATAAAGTTGTCCAAACTTTCTTTGCCCTCTTACATGTAAAGAGATAATGCTGGATGTCTTCAACTCCAGTCGCACAGAACATGCACAGAACATGCATTAAGGGACCAGTGGTATGTGTCTATTTGCAAGAATTCCATAGCAAGGAAGTGATCCATTTAGCGCCTTCCACGCAAAATATTTGAACTTACCTGGGATTTTGAGGTTCCAAATTTCCTTCCAATTTGTATTAGTGTTTATGTTTCCTTGTCCATCTGTTCAAACAAGGCGTTGGCCAAACTGGTGTTCAAACTCTTCGTGGTAGGCCGATCGGACCCCGATCGCATATAATTCGAAGCTATAAAATCTTCCACAAGCTGAACATTTAAAGGGATTTGGAGGATCCTATAAGCATCCACCAGAGAAAAAACATCTCGAATCAACACTTCATCCCATGTGCCATTATGTGAATCTATGAGTTCCTCCACATATCTGAGCATAGTTGCACCTCTACGGGTAATTACCTTCCGTGAAGGGCTTGATGGAATTCATGGGTCTTGCCTAATATCAATTTGTGCTCCCAGTCCCACACGGCAGATACAACCCCATTGAAAAGTTTGGATGCCCACAACAATGCTTTGCCAAGTGTATGAGAACCCTTCTTTGGTCCAGCCTTCAAAATGTTACCATTTGGATAATATTTTGCAGTTAAAACACATGCACATAAGGAGTCCGGATTCTGGATTAGTCGCCAAACACTGTTTTGCTAACATAGCAAGGTTAAAAACTGTGAAGGTCTCTAAAACCCAAGCCCCCTTTCTTCTTCGGTACACACAATTTCAACCATGCAAACTAATGCATCTTCTTCTCCTCATTATCACCCCACCAAAATCCAGCCATCTCATCAGTGATTGTTTTGCAGATTCCTTTGGGCAGTTTAGATACTGACATCACATATGAAGGTATTGCTTGAGCTATTGATTTCAGCAAAATTTCTTTAACCTACATTGAGAGAATTTTCTCTCCTTCCAACCTTTGAGGCACTGACACACACGGTCAATAAGGTGTTGGAGACAATCGCTTCTATCCACCCCTACCATAGTATGGAGCCCCAAATATTTGTCTAACGGGGCTTCCGTGACAATATGTAGTTCCCCACACACCTCCTCCTGTACACCATCTGGAGTATTAGGACTCAAGAAAATGCTGGATTTCGCATTACTCACCATTTGTCCTGAGCTACCACAATGAGTGTCCTAGATCCTCTTCAAGGTGTTTGCACATTGCATGTTTGCCTTCATAAGAATTAGGGAGTCATCTGCAACGAGGAAATGTGAAATAGTAGGCGCACTCCTGCAAACTTTAATACCTTCAAGGTTCCCAATCTCCTCTTCATGAGCAAGCA